AAAAACAATTTCATTCTCATGCAAATCCTAATTAGAATGATCAAATCATCTAAAATTCTTCAAGAGAACTGAGGTACGGATTGGCATACTAGTATTGAAATTTTCATATTCAAGATGAATTTGAGTGACATTGCCGAATGGAAAATAAAGATTATTGGCTATGTCGAGCCATGCTTGAGGCACTGGCTTTTCAGTTATACAACTGATTCGATCTGCTAATTGAACGGAAAGCTAAGCAACAGCATTCGTAAAGATTGAATTATTCTTCAACGGTTGGGCATCTTCATCAGGTGGCAATACCGATGCATAAACACAATCCGATGTGATTAAGCATACATCAAAAACAAAATAATTTACTCAAGATTTCGTATTGTTTCCGGTCTGGATTGTATACTGCTCTCGACACCCCAAATCGTGCTATTTCATAGATGAGATCACCACCCATTTTGTTCTTTAACCACAACTGATCATGTGTTCCGGCAGTGTATTGTCTTGCGGCAAAAGCTATATCGCCAGTGATATACATCTGATAGAGACCAACTTCCGGACAACAATCCGGAGTTACATCGATTCCTGTTCGTGCGCTCTCCCAAGGATACCTACGGGCCCATAGCATAGACCAAAATGAACTAATCACAAATCTTACCTACATCCTACATAACCAAATAGCTTAGCATTGTACATGGCTGCATCACGTAGAGCGATGCGATATGAAAGAATCTCTCTAGCTAATCTAAATCAAACAAATATAAATTTAACTCTCAATTATTGTGCTAAACAAATATTTAAACAGACATACGTTGGATAGAAGAGAAGAATCAATGGATACATCCATGTTTCTGTATCCCAAAATGAATGACCACCATAATCTTCACTCAGACGACCACCACGAGATAGACTACTCGGACTGACTCTGTAGAATTGCTTAGGTTCACTACGTGTGGATAATGGCGGAAGCGAACTGAGAATATAATAGAGAGCAGAATTCACTTGTCGTTGTAGTTCAACATCGTCACGAATTTCAATTCGTCCATTTCACCAGACTTGATTCCAAAGAGAAACGTGTGATGACCATATTTCATTCGGTTCTCGGTCATTAGATGCTATTTACAAAAAGAAACAATTATTCAAGTTCGAAATCTTCATTCGTCAGATTTCGGATTCGTGAAAATATTTTTCTCTTGATAAATAGTCTGACGACGTACCGTAATCAAAACTTCGTTTCGCCCGAGCTTGCTCTGTGTCGAGTGAAGCGACAAACAGATAAGTTCGACTGGTTTCTTGTGCGCTAAGTTGAAAACTGTTGCTTGGTAATGGTGTATAATACATAAATAGGGACAGTCGATTGCTTTGAAAGAGATTATTCTCCACTTCTCGTGTCGTTCCCGATAGAAGTCTTTAATGAAAATCAAATGAATTCATTAAAGAATCGTTCCAATACTTACACATGTTTATCATCACGAGACGAAACATGAAGATCGAAATCGATGCTGGTCGTTTGTTCATTGACTTCCACTGGCACAATAATTGGATGACCTATGCTAACATGTCGACGAAGACATCGAACATGAATGCAAGATTTTGATTGTTCTACCTTTCGATGTCAATCGAGTAATGACCACATGTGCAAGTAACAGTTCGATATATTCTTGTGAAGCAAAAATACGTCGTTCAATTCGTACTTGATCATTTTCAAGTTTTTCAGTAAAAACTCCTTTGAAAGATATTAGCCTTTTAGAGAGAATCATTTTTCGACGAAAATATTCTCACCGAATGCAACATCAAGCGAGTATAACAATGATGATAATGATTTCAATTTGAATTGCCAATTGTGAGTACTTGGAATACGAGCTCGATGACTTGTACCTATTCCATTCAGAATCAACGAGTGAAATAGAAAGTGAGAGTACAACAAACCGTTGGCATCATTATAGAGTCCATTCATATAAATGAAATCACTGAAAATAACTGTTGCCACATGTCCATTACCCACATAAGCCATGAGACGCTAGTCAATTGAAGAGCCATCCAATGGTAATCTACAGATTCATTAGAGAGAAGAGGTTCTTTCAATCGATATTTACTTGTCTGTGCTGAAAATGGTTGTCGAAGCTGGTGGATTAACGGATGCTCGACGAGTAAGAATGAGAACTGGAGGGAGAATAGCGACGAGGCACACTACAATGACGATCAAAATAATGATTGCGATTTGGATCTTCTTGCGTTTGTTGCGCTTTGAACTATTTGTAGAATAAACATCCGCACCATCTGCATACAATCGTCGAAAAAACGAGGCTTCTGTAGTTGAATTCGATGACATTTCTCTAAATGGAAATTCTTAGGCAATCTGATACGCGTACAAAATATTTCCAAATGATGATACTTGTTTTGGTTGTGAGACTCTCTGAGAATAGTATACAATCTTCAACCTCTGTATACTACAGAGGCCATATCCAACGGTCGAAAAAAATTTTCTAAAAATCTAAAATGTAAGATTGGTATCGTTAGAAAGAGCGCAAAAAACTGAGTATTACCCTAGAATATGAGCACGGACTATAGTGTAGACCCAAGCAAAATTTTTAAAAATAAGATTCTCTGCAAGGGAAACTTCTTTATCTTTCTTTAGTTCTTTCTTTCGTTCTGTTGTACGCGTGTACACGCACATGTATATATATGTGCGTACGATAGAACGAAAAAAAACAATTTCTGTATACATGTTCAGAAGAGTGTATAACATTTTTCAAGTTGAAAATTCATAATTAAAAAATTATTTAAAGATTTATTTAGATAATAAAAATTCTATGAATTCTAAGCATTAGAATAAGTTAAACAATCAGTGTGTTTTATTTATGTATAAATAAAATAGATAACAAGATAACAATGTTAATAGTAATAATGATAATAACAGTAAGGAGGAGAAGGCAATAACGATAATAATAGGAGAGGTGAAAGAAGAGAATAGATAACCATTACTAACAGGAAAACAACAACAACTGAACAAAGAAAAAAAGATAACAGAGAGAAGATGAAAGGGAAAACATTAAAGAGGATGTATTAAACCAATAACAAATAGTGAACAGAGTTAGCGTCATAGACTGACATTTGTTGATGCTAACATCGGTCAAGACACAAGAAGAATCATGGAGGGCGTGGCAAATCTCAAACTGTTACCAGTTTTGGTTAAATGACATAGTATGTGCTATAATTGTAAAAATAAGTTATCCAGTTTCTGATAAGCCGAAAACTATCATCGTACATCATATATCAGATATTTACTTTTGTATGAAAGTTTTCAGTTTCAACGCATAATAAAGTAAATCAACACATTTATCTATCTATATGTATGAAAATTCAGCAGATAACCAGATATCAGATATTTACTTTTGTATGAAAGTTTTCAGT